ACTGGATGTTAGTTTTTATTAATGAATTTTAAAAGTTTAAGTAGAATTAAGGACACAGTGAGCCACTGAAAAAAATATGTATTTTGCACCAGGGACCACTTTTTTGAAGAAACACTGAACCACTTTGTATTATTATGAGGTTTAAATGAGATATTATATGTAAAGTATATGGTAATAACTGGGTGTTAGCTTTTTTAAAAATTTAAGTAGAATTAAGAACACAGTGAGCCACTGAAAAAAATATGTGTTTTGCACCAGGGACCACTTTGTTGAAGAAACACTGAACCACTTTGTATTGAATACATTATTTATCCATCTATTCATGAAACATAAATTTATTGAGTACTTACTATGTGAGAGGATAAAATGATGAAACACTGTCCTTTTTTTAAAAAAAAGAAGCATATGGTAAGGAGATAGAGACATATATAACTAATTACAATGCATGAAATTACTAACATAAAAGTATTATAAATTAAATTCGAGGTGACCTTAAAGGAAAGATAAATTGATTCCTTTTAAGGGTTTTAGGAAGGCTTCTTAGAGAAAGTGACACAGATGTAGAATTTTGAAGACAACAATAGGAAAAAGAGGAAAGAAGTGAGGGCATTTTACAAAGAAGAAACAATATAAAGAGTTAAGCATATATTATAGTTTTTTGATCAGTAAGTAAGGATTATTTGCAAAACTTTCTCTTTCAGAGAGTCATCACTAAATCATTCAGAAGACTGACAGAATATTTCACAACCCTAATTTCTTCAGAAGAATCTCATTTTCTCCTTTTCCTGAAGCCAGGTTCCCCCTCGACTCTTTCCCCAACAAACATAAAATTTCAAATAGATGTTAACACAGAGCCCTGATTCTAATGCTACAGTAGCGAGAAGTGGTAAAAACTTAAAAAGAAACTTGTTAACTTGAGTTTTGCAATGTAGGATGGAAACATATAATTTATTCCCTAAACAATTTATTTTTTTAAAAAACTTCAACCTATTCCCTAAAAATCTAATATAGCAGCTGTTGAGGAAAATGACAAATATTGTACTTTAATTTTTGGATATACTGTTCTATATAATATTGAGAAAATGACAAATATTGTACTTTAGTTTTGGGATATACTGTTTTATATAATGGAATTTCAGTCTCTAAAGCCTCAAGTGGATCTAGAAAGTACATTGCTCATTCTTTGATATACACGCTACTCACTACTTAAAATAATTGGATTTTACTTTTAAGATATAATACTGAAGTAATCCTCACGTCTCTGAAGACATTTTCTATTTTGTACCCATCAATTCATGAAATATCTCATTTCTCTTTAAATGCACTTTATAGTGAAAGAGTATCATACTGAATCCAAAGTTGCTCTAGAATTATTCACATTTTTCTTGCCAGCTGTCATGACATGAATATAGATTGTTAGGCTGCTTGTATAAGAAAAAATAAATAAATCATACCTGTTCCAGGTATGATTTACCCAAAACTTAGTGACTCAAGGAAACAATTTACTGTTTTCTCTTACAATTCTGGGGGCTAATGGGCTCAGCTGGGCAGTCCTTGTTTAACATGCTTCATAAAGTTGCAGGCAAATATAACTGTGGCTAAAGTCACCTGAAGGCACCTTTACAAATACATCTGATGCCTGGGCTGGGATGGCAAGAATAGCTGGGTGCTGGTAAGTCTGTCCCTTTCCCTGTCTCCCTCTCCCTACTTACCCTCTTCTTCTCCTTGTACTTTTTCTGTCTTCTTCCCTCTCCCCATCTGCACATACCCTACCCCCGACCCCTACCCCCAGTAATGTGGCTTATCCATATAGCTAGTTTGGTTTTCCTCTTAGTCCTGAAAGTCTCTGGATAGTTAGACTTCTCACATGGTATTTGACTTCTCCCAAGAAAACATTCCAAGTTGCTAAAGAGAAGCTGCAAGGCTTTTGATGAACCAGCCTCAGAAGTCTCAGAATGTCACTCTGTTGCATTCTATTGGTCAATTCAGTCACTAAGGTCAAGAAAAGGGATGTTAGACCCCACCACTCAACAGAAAGAGTTTCCAAAAAATTGTGGCCATCTTTAATTTCCCACGATGCCTATACAAAAATAGAATATTGCCAGATTTATTTAAACTTTTTCTTCCTTGTTTAGTGAATTTAAAAGAAATCAAGATTAGCATAAAACTCCTAAACTCAGACTACATTCATTAGTTAACTAATTTATTAATTGCTTTCTACTTAGCAATTAAGAAAAAACATATAGCAACTAGTATAAAATTTTATTTTGTGCTCAGTTTGGCTTATTGACAAAAAATGTTCTTTAGAAAATATTTTGAAATAACTATCAAGAGTGTGATCTACAGGTGGTATCTAGCCACTAATACAAAAGTCAGTAATCTGCCAAGAATAAGTGATCTCAGCCACTTTGAATCCCACTTCATTTTACCTCCTAACTCATCAGGAGCATCGAAAAGCTGCAAAGTGCATTTCTGAGTGTCTAGCACTCTCCAGAATACACCAGCTGCTACACCACCTTCAAATAGAACCACCATACCTCCCATACTCTCAATGTTTTGGCATGTTTGGCGCATCCGTCTTCATTATAGTGGAAGAACTATCACAGAAACATGACTCCAGAGAAAAATATATTTGAAGCAAAGATAATATTTTACATGATACAGCTAAATTCTCATCTACAGATTGGTAATGAGAAACTGTGTTTTACTCATGGCATCTAGAAGAAGGGCTAATTTCCTTAAATAGAGCAGCTGTGCTACTTCTAGTTCTCTTTTTGTTGCTCCATAAAAAAACTACCCCAAACTTTATGACTTGAAAAAACAACTATTTTATTATACCACACAAATCTCTAGAACACCATTTTGGGCAGGAGTCAACTGGACAACTCTGCTCTACACAGTGGTGACTGTAGTCACTCAGCAATATTCAGCGGAGGGTGGGGCTAGGCTGAAGGGTCCAAGATAGCTTCGTTCACATGCCTGGCACTTGAGTGTAACCACCCTCCTCCCCCATATTTACATAGGTATAAACATATTTTTTTTTTTTTTAATTTTTAACTTACCACAAAGTCCATGAGTAGGCAGACAATTCTGAAACCATATTCTGGAATCTCTGGCCTGCAGGTCCCTAAAGAGTTAACTCAAAGCCAGATACCCCGTGGAGGCTCAATTAATGTGAATTAGAAGCAACAATGAACCAAATCCACAGATAACATTACTTTACACTAGATTGAAAAGTATAATCCAGAAATATTAAGTGTGAAAAACTCTCTCAATTATAGTTAAATCAGAATCCTTTAATACGCAAAGGCAGTGAATGGAATGTTAAAAAAAAAATGAATGTCACATAACTTCTATAAATTAGGTGGTAGGGGACACCAGTTATGATGCATTTCATGAAACCCTACTCAAAAATAAGCTACTTGTTGAAACAAAATATTAATTTAAGCGTTTTTTTGTTTTTGTTTTCGTTTTTTTTTTTTTTTTTGGTGGGGGGGCATGGTTGTTCTCTTCCAAAAACTGAAAGAAAAAAAAAATAGACAAAACAAAGCATATATGTTATGCCCTTTTCAAAGCAAACCTTGGGTCCTATTTGAATTGTTTCCTAATGCTCTATAAATGAGACACGTGAGGAAATACACATTCCCCCACAGATGAATAACATAACACTTAGGTTACTAGGGTCTTTCACAATCTAACCTAACACCACTTTCCCACGTTCATTTATCACTGGTTTCTTCTCAAGACCACCAGAAGCACACCTGTAATTGACAAATGGTGTTTATTATTCATTGCAGTAAGAGAGAGCATATATTGTGAGAAACTATGACGTTTAAGAGTTCTCTGTAAAATATTAGAAAATGCTTGTTGGATTTGGGATTTTTTTCCCCTAATATTGGCTATCTTCCTAAATCTTAGGAGGAAGGAAAGCTAGATCCAGGCTAAGACTGTAAAGAAGCAGAAGTCATCATATTAAACCAGATAGGGTGATGTTCGGTCATTTTTGTGGCTTGGACAATGTTTTATCTGTGTTCAGATATGATTACACGGTGATCATATTCTTTTCTTGATGAACACTGTCAGAGTGGTCTTGTTGGATGCTTTTGCTTGCTGAAATTGTGTACGTTCATTAGGCGGACACCAGTTCCCAGTCCAGGCTAGCTCCAGGTATCAGAGGCCGGTTTTCTCTTCTACTCCTCACACATGCTGTGTTCATACCAGACTTGAGTTTTCCTTGCCCTTTGTTCTTCTTTCTGTTCTATTTGATTCCCTTTATCTTTAGTGATCATTACCTTAGTACTTCAGTTTTCTTTCTGAAGTCCTTTGTGCTGCATGTTGTTTGGTTACTTGTGTTTATGCTTTGTTTCTTCAGCCAGGATCATTAGCACATATCTCTCAGCACTGGCAAAAGTCCTTGAAATCATTGATACCTAGCATATACTTTATTTAAAATAAAAAGAAAAAATAAAAGAAAAGGAATGGGTTTATTGTCCTGTTCAATAGACTAGAGTACACGGAGTGAAACTGCTTCACTTGATTCAATAAAATCGTTTCCAGGCCAGGCGCGGTGGCTCACGCCTGTAATCCCAGCACTCTGGGAGGCCCAGGCGGGCGGATCACGAGGTCAGAAGATCCAGACCATCCTGGCTAACACGGTGAAACCCTGTCTCTCCTAAAAATACAAAAAAATTAGCCTGGCGCGGTGGCGGGCGCCTGTAGTCCCAGCTACTTGGGAGGCTAAGGCAGGAGAATAGTGTGAACCCGGGAGGCGGAGCTTGCAGTGAGCCAAGATCGCGCCACTGCACTCCTGCCTGGGCGACAGAGCGAGACTCCGTCTCAAAAAAAAAAAAATCGTTTCCGGTAACAGGCCCCCAGGAATCCTAGACCTAACCCTGGCGCGAAACTACATTTCCCACAATCCTTCGGGAGCTGATAAGGCGCCGCACTGTTCTGAACTACAATTCCCACAATCCATTGAGATCTCCGCTTTGACGCATTTCCTCAAGGCTCCCCTCCATTTCCCATCTTTCCTTTCGGTCCTTGAGCACGGGGCAACAAGGTCGTGAGAACGAGGTCTTGGTGAGGTGCAGCCATTTCATCCATCCTCGGTCTGCGCCTTTCGCAGAGCTTCCAGCAGCGCTATGTTGGGCCACAGCATCCGGAGGTTCACAACCTCTGTGGTCCGTAGGAGCCACTATGAGGAGGGCCCTGGGAAGGTTAGTGTATAAAGGGGCTCGACTTCGTTGGGGGAGGGGGCGCTTGGCTGTGACTCGCGTACCTGAAAGGCAGCCTCCGGGCTGTGGCGAGGGAGATGAAAGCCAGGAACTAGGCTGAGACGCAGAGTAGCGTTTCACTTACCCCAGGGGCCAGTGAGGAAGCTGGGCATCCTAGCGCGTAGCAGCTAAAGGAATGGGTAGGTAGATCCGGAAGCTCTGCCTCTATCAACCGCCTGACGCCCCCTCCCCCGCCCCGCAGAAAGCCCTGGGATGGCTCCTGGAGGCCACGGCTGCAGGTGTATGGCTTAAAGCCGAGCTGGAGGTCGTCGTACCCGAAATGAAGGTCATTGGAAAATCATGAGGAAATCAGGGCCTCTGGGTTATGGAAGAGGCTTTGTAAACCAGCTGGCTAAGTTAAAAGTACTAACCCTTCAACTTCGTTAAGGCCGTGTTTGGCCTCAGTTGTAAATAACTTAAACCACTTAGCAGTCACAACCTCGGAGGGTCACACGAGGCCTAGTCGTCAAGGGCAGAGAAGGTGCTTCGTATTGAGAAAATAAATAAATAAATAGGGCCGGGTGCGGTGGCTCATGCCTGTAATCGGGAGGCCGAGGCAGACGGATCACCTGAGGTCAGGAGTTCGAGACCAGCCTGGCCAACATGGCGAAACCCTGTCTCTACTAAAAAGTACAAAAAAATTACGTGGTGGTGTGTGCCTGTAATCCCTGCTACACGGGAGGCTGAGGCAGGAGAATCGCTTGAACCCCAGAGGTGGAGGTTGCAGTGAGCCGAGATCGCGCCACTGCACGCCAGCCTGTATGACAGAGCGGGACTCAGTCTCAAAAAAAAAAAAAAAAAAGAAAAGAAAAAACAACTTTGTATTGCACTTAAGATTGCTATGTATCTTCTTCTAATGTGACTACTTAAGACAGCAGTTTTTTCGATTTTCTAAAATAAGAAACTTCTCACTATTTGACGTTTGAGTCCTTAAGACCATTACCTAGTGCTCAAGTAAAGCCGGATTGTTTCTTACGTTCTAGTGTTGTGTGATAAAGGTCATGGGATAAATGTTTAAAAAGATGTTATGATTTATGGCATATGTGCCATGATGTAAAATAAATATAACTAGCATTTCCTGTATACTTGTGTTTTGATTATTAAGCACATTATTTGAGGTTCTATTTCGATTACTTTTTCTCTTTTTTTCCAACAGAATTTGCCATTTTCAGTGGAAAACAAGTGGGCGTTACTAGTTAAGATGTGTTTGTTCTTTGGATCTGCATTTTCTGTACCCTTCCTTGTAGTAAGACACCAACTGCTTAAACAATAAGGATGTTTCAGTTCGTCCATTTACCAGGTAGTTCATGGATTTCTAATCTTGTTAAAGCAGGCCTTTTTATTAAGTAGCCTCTTCCCCCTCACCCAGAACACACACACAAATACATTGTTAAGTAGGGCTGATTCCTGAGATTATATGTAGGTGTGGCATTGGTGGAGACTAGTTGTAAACCTGTATAAAAATATTTGAATAATGGCCAGTGTTTATTGAACACTACTGCTTATCAGGTACACTTTACATCGATATCTCATGTTCTCTAGCAAGCTTGTGAGGCGGATGATAGTAACCCCATCTGAGACACAAAGATGTTAAGTTGTTCAAGATCTCATAACTGGTATAATGGTGGACCAGGACTCTTGCCCAGGCAGTTTCTTGTTCCAGAACTCACACTTTTAAACTAGGTAAAACTCTGACAAACTGATTAATGTTACTCTATCTTAAACACTGTTACTACAACAGTGGCCGAGAATATGTCTTTTAAAACACTATAAACATTTCCATTTCTTTAAGAAAGTGGTCACTGTGCTCCCAGTTTTTAAATTGGCTTACAATACTTGTTTAAGTTGTGAAAAAATCCCTGAAGATGAAGAAAACCCTTCTAGTGTTCCTTGATATATAAGTCCCAGATAATTATGCAGTTGTAAATCTATGCCTCACCAACTCAACCATGTTGGGAAACTCAAACTTCTGAATATACTTTCCTCATTAAGGCAGTGGTTCTTAAATGAGAATGATTTTACAACACAGTGGGGCATTTGGCAATGTGAGACATTTTTGATCATTCCAAGTTGGGGGCAAAATACCAGTGGTGCTGAGGTTGAGAAGCCTTGTGTCAAGGGGATATGTTAATATATGCTCAAAGGAGTCCTTCATATTGGAAGGTTAGCAGATTTCCTGTGAGTGGTTAAAATATTTATTTACCTTAATTGTCGTCAGAGTTTCTCAGAGTAATACTATAGAACACTGGAATGATCGGAAAGACTGTCATAGTTTAGAGGGGGAATAACTTATCCAAGCTACTAATGCGGAAAGGTTTCGGTGCATGTGATGAAGCAAATCAGTATGAATGAAGTCATGATACTGTAAACGCTTTCTGATGTACTACTGAAACTAATAGAAAATATTTTCATGAAACTACATGATTTCTGTTGAATGAGATTTTTAAAATGCCATTAATTTCTGTTTTTATTTTGCAGATATGAAGAGCATTTTAAGAGATACAGCCTCTGGAAATGGATCAAACTCTAACTCATGGCATGCTAGATATGTTTTTCAATAAACTTATGACATGAATGCTTAATGCCTCTTTTTTGAAATAGGGAATGTAATACTTGGCCATTTGCCTACTTTATTAATTTGGGTAACATTCCAGTATTACTCTGAGATTTAGCTTATTTAATGGTGTTAAACTGAGGTTATATTATTAATTTTTTGATTCCCAGGTCAGGATTTTGTTGGTAATTTATGCAATAAAAGGGAAATACAAATCAATCTTGTTTATTTCTTTGATTTTTTTTTTTTTTTTTTTGTCGTTAACTTGAAGGAAAAAATACTTTTGCTCTTGCCCTATACTTTGATATAGTAAATTATTTTTCCCATGATTGATTAATCATCAGGAAAACTATTAGTTTATTCCAATTGAAGTTCTGGAGAATCAGGTATTTAGGAGCTTCATTCTTTTTTTGTTTTGTTTTTTGTGTTTCTCTAGGTCTGTAACCTAAAACAGAAGTGTTTGCCTCATAAGTGTTCTGGTGACCAGTACTAGTCTTAATTAGAATGAATAAAGAATATTTGAAATGGAGTATAATACTATGTAATTTGTAGTATAGTAAGTACTCCCAATTTATTCTGGTGCTTTCACTATCATATAGCCTAGTAGAAATGGGATAAAAGGTAGTTCTGATTAGTAATTATATATGTGAATCGAATTTATTTTATAAGTAGTGAAATGCTGCTTGCCATTTAAAATGTAATGAAGTCATTACATTTTAGGACTTTGTATAAGATGTAGGACAGTAACTACTGAGTATTTTCATCTGCTCACTGTTGGAATACCACTGATGTTAAAATGCTGCAATAAAATAGACTCCAGACTGGTAGTCTGTTTGGCCTCCAGACTTTGGTGAAAGGGTGATGCTCTGTTTTTAAACCAACATTTAAAAACCTATTTCCATAAAAGTATATTTCTGGATTTTTTAAAAATTGCTCTGAGTGGTTCTATATCCCTTCATCAAAAAAAAAAAAAAATAGCTGTGTAGGCCACTCCCCACTATATCATTAGATTTCTTATATGGCCCTTGGGTACAACTACTGATTTGCTAAAAACTTCCATTTTGATTTTTTTGTTTCTCACCTAGGGCCTCACTTTAGGTTCTTCAACAGTCACCTGATAACTACTTAATTATGGTGCAGCCTTAATTTATATGACTGCTCATATGTCTCTTGTACTTGTGTGTCATTGTTATTTGATTATTCAGTGGTAGATCAGGTATCCTGTATTGAGAGAGTTCCTTGTATGGAACATAAAGGTTTTTCATCTTTGGAAAAAGTTGAAGCGGCCAGGCAAGGTGGCTGATGCCTGTAATCCCAGCACTTTGGGAGGCCAAGGCAGGTGGATCACGAGGTCAAGAGATTGAGACCATCCTGGCCAACATGGTGAAACCCTTTCTCGACTAAAAATAGAAGAAAACTAGCTGGGCATGGTGGCGCATGCCTGTAGTCCCAGCTACTCGAGAGGCTGAGGCAGGAGAATCACTTGAACCTGGGAGGCGGAAGTTGCAGTGAGGTGCGAACGCGCCACTGCACTCCAGCCTGGGTGACAGCGAGACTCTGTCTCAAAAAAAAGGAGAAGCAAGAGTAAGTTTAAGGTTTGTTAGATGATTTTTTGGTTTTCTTGGAAATTATGATAAGTCTTACCTCATTGGATTGTTTTTGAGATCTAGTAAGTTATATAAAAACTTGTCTCACAAGTCCTAAATTTGAATTTTTCGGAGAGAATGTTAAAATAGATTAGGAATCAATAGTTATGGGTAGCTAAGTCTAGCTAGAGAAGTATTTGAGGGATATATGTGAGAGAAAAAACCTCTACCTGTCTTGTAATAGTACAGGTGGTGCCACCCCCCAAAAAGGCTTCAGTAGGCTGGCTGTAAGTGCATAAGTTACAGAGAGTGTATAACTGCTTAGTTTCTGTATTAGGATTCTCTAGACAAACAGATCAAGAGGATGCACATAGAAAAAATTGTCTCATCCGATTCTGGAGGCTTGGTGGTTTGGAAATACGGGTATGCCAGCGGGCTGGAGACCCGTCAAAGGCAGTTGCTGGCGGAATTCCTCCTTGGGGGAGGTCAGTCTTGGTTCATTAAGATGTTCAACTAATTCAAGAAGCTTAGCCACATTATAAAGAGGGTCAGCTTTACTCCAAGTCCACTGACTTAAATGGTAAACTCATATAATTCAAGAAACACTTTCAGAGAAATATCTAGAGGATTGTTGATGCAAATATTTGAGCACTGTGTCCTTGTTGACACAAAGTTAACCATAACAGTAGTTTAATTTTCTGTTTCCCTAAACTGGTTTTTAAAATTCAAGCCAATATTTAAAACCTGGAGGTCTCCAAAAAAGTCCAGATTCTCGGAAAAAAAAAAAAAATTACACTGGATGAACCCACAAATGCCCACGTGAAACTAATCAGGACCAAGTAAAAAGTTTGCACCTTTTGCAGATGTTTCCCTAACTCGCTAGAATACCAGAATAGGAATTTTGGTCAGAATCCAAGATTTGTTTTAAAGACAAGTCACTATCATTGTTTCAATGATTAAGCCATGGCCACAGTGAAGGACGTAATTCAAAATGTAGGTTTTGCTGCAGAGACCATAGAGGTTAAGTATGTGGGCTCAGAACTAAGACTTGGCTGGATCCAAAGCCAGGATTGATACATTCCTCATCTTCAACGATCTGTACCTCACTTTAAGTTGATACCTAATTTAGTGTAGCTGTGAAGATTAAAAATGAAAATGTAGGGCACAGTGGCTCACACCTGTAGTCCCAGCACTTTGGGAGGTCGAGGTGGGTGAATCACGAGGTCAAAAGTTAGAGATCAGCCTGGCCAATGTGGTGAAACCCCATCTCTACTAAAAATACAAGAAATTAGTTGGGTGTAGTGGTGGGCGCCTGTAATTCCAGCTACTCAGGAGGCCGAGACAGGGGAATTGCTTGAACCCGGGAGGTGGAGGTTGTAGTGACCCGAGATGGCACCACTGCACTCCAACCTGGCCGACAGAGCAAGACTATCTCAAAATTAAGAAAAGAAAATAAAATATACCTAAATTGAGGCAAATTTCCTTAAGTTTCTAGTGTAGAGTGCTTAATTGGAACAAGCGAGATGGGGCAAGTATAATGGGCATTGTGTAAGTCGTTAAAGTTGATCCCAGAGCAATTCTGCAATAGTTAATAGATTGGTCTGTGCTGCAGACACTGTGTCTTCAAAAGTGATGCCAGAATAATAGTGCTAAAATGCAAGTCATCATTTTACTCACTGTAAAACACCTCACCATGACAATGGTCACTTCCTTATAGTTTCAGCCTCATCCTAGCCATATCACACAGTTTTATGTACCACCTCCATGTTTTAATGTAGCTCAGGTGCCACCTTTTCTATAAAGTCTCCCCTTTTTATTTTATTTTTTTAAGAGATAGGGCCTCGATTTGGCACCCAGGCTGGAGTACAGTGGCACAATCATAACTGGCTGCCACCCTCCAGGGGATCCTCCTGCCTCAGCATCTGGAGTAGTTGGGGCTACAGGGGCTTGTCACTGTCCCTCATTAATATTTTTTTTATTTTATTTTTTGAAGAGACTGAGTCTCACTGTATTGCCCAGGCTGTTTTCATACTCCCGGCTGCAATCCCTCGTTCTCTGAGGGATTATAGGCATGTGCCACCAAACCCAGTCCCTTGCTGATTTCTCTTCATTGTCCATAACACACTCCACACACCCTGTAAACAGGCTTATAATTCAGCAGGTACTGTAATGACTGATTTCCTTATCTACCTTTCATACCAGCCTGTGATCTTTCTGAGCCCAGAGAGGCTTCTTTATTCATGTATCCTGCATCTATCATTTAGTTGGTGATCCATGAACACTCTCTATTCTGTGAATCCTCTCGATAATCTGAAGCCAAGAATAAAAATTACCTAAAAACAAATTCTAGGCCTTTTATGCACCAAAATGTATGTTTCAATACTTTACGAATAAAAATGAATTTTTCCTGGATAGTTGGAAATTGCTTCTCCCACCAAACATAAATGTATTGAAATAATCCAGTTGAAAAAAAAAAATGAGTTTAAATTCGCACCAAAATGTAACTCAACTATGTCACTACTGATATCCATCAGATATCTTTTTTTCTTTGCAGACAAACCCTTAATGAAGGAAAGTGTGTTTTTATATATTCCGGAATAGCCCTTTATCTTGTTTCAAGCCAGCATTTTAAGAAGCACTGGCTTAAAGAATTGAGCTTTTTTTTTTTTTTTTTTTTTTTTTAATCTTGCGTAACAAAAGATGGAGCTCAGGAATTTTAGGTCCCTCCAAGTTTCTCAGCCTGTTTTTCCTAAACCATTTCTTCCATTCTCATAAGATGGCTGCTACAGTTCCAGGCATCCTATACAGACTTGACAATATCCAGCAAGAAAAATTACTGTCTTTGTTATTTTTCAAAGTGAAGAAAGCTTTCCTTCAGACTATCCCTCGTTAGTCACTGTCCAGAAAAGTGATAAATTCACCTCTGAATATAACACAGGCAAGGGAATAGCATGACAATGATTAAATTTGACCAATTAGCATTTTCTCACATGTCTTATGTGGGCAGAGTGGATACTGAAGCAAGTCAGAATTCTACCAGAAAGGAAAGAGAAAGTGGCTATTGGGTATGCAAAAGACACTGCCTGCTGCAATTATCCTATATACTATACTAAAAAGATGGACCAGAATGTCATAAAATGTGATAAGCCTTCATTTTAGTGTTTCCAATAAATAAAGACCACAGCGTAAGTCTTTAGAGCAAGCTATATAGAATAGAGGAGAAATACTGTTTAGGCTTTTTCTTTCTGTCTCCTTTCAATATAAAATATAAATAATGTGAGCTTTTATATGATTTATACTCTGCCCACATCAAAACCTTTTTAAAAATTTCATCTATTATCAAATGGTGTTTTGTTATCATAGCTATTGTAACTTTATAACCCAGAGGGAAGACAGCCACTTTCTATATATCTTAATACAGTGAAGATTTTTCAGTGAGTATGTAATTCAAATAATATATAGTTGATTTGTGTGGTACCCACATTTCCTTCCTTAACCTGGTATAGTAGTCATTAAGGCTTTTCATAAATATGACAGCTCTATTTCTGTACATATAGGATCAAACTCTAACCCCTTTGCTTTGACAATAAAAAACTGAGAAGTGATATGCATTACTTCTACATGA